ATTCCCTGGTCAGCTTCTCTCAGACAGATCGCCTCCAACATTGGTGAAACAATGTCCTACTGTATGTTTCACTATTGTTAAATAAAAAATATCTTCTTTATTTGCTAGTTATATTGAGGGTGGCACAGTGAAACAATTATAAGCATGTGTGACAGAGCTGGGGGGTTCAATTTCCTGGGGTTCTATATGTGTGGAGTTTGTATCTTCTACTTATGTTGATGGGGGATTTGTCTAAGTCCTCCAAAGATATACTGCTAGGTTAATTGACTTTAAGAATTGGCCCTAGTGTAAATGTGTGTGTGTCTGTGTGTGTGCTTTGCAATGCACTGAAGTCCCACTCAAGGTGTATACTGCTTTGCACCCAACTCTTGCCGGGATACACTCCAACTCCCCCACAGCCTTATATTGGATAAAGCTGTTAGAAAATGGTTGGATAGATATACTGACTCTTAATCTTATCACTGTGACAGAATTAGTTCCACTCTAATACCAAACACATTAGACATTTTTGTGAAATAAAAACATCAGTTTTTTGTTATCCAAGAGACAGTATTACCCAATCAACTATTTAATTGCATGGTATTTTTTAAAATATAAATAAACCCAATAACCAGGTGATGTAACTCTTAGACAGAAACATTTCCATTGTGCATCAGCACATTCACATTGTATTCATTTCTTTTTGTTTTTAATTTAAATACTTAATTCAATATTTAATTATTTTAATTATTATTCCATGATAGGTATACTAAAGTTTTACTTTTAAAAGAAATACAGTACTATAAATCAAGCAATTGTCCTGATAAAAAAATAGCTTGGTGCTGTCACTCATTGAAATAAATATCTCTGTTCTATTACCTGCTACCTCATCAAATTTATAAAATGTGAGGAAATTATTATCAACAATAAAAAACAAAACAGTCCTGCACTGTTTACCAACTTCACTTTATTTCTAAAGTAGCTAGTGCTTCGGTTTTCCAGCATCATCAAAGCATTAAAGAGTTTTCCATAGTTTTCTTTTAACTGAATGCCACATAAAATTGTATAAAACATACACAATTCCATGTAGTCATGGAAAAGACTACAATATTAAAAAAATGAACTAATTATTGTTATAAAGAACTAATCATAAGTAGCAACATCTTTGTCAAAAAGCTGTACTAAATGTTTTTCCCAGGAAAACTTTTGTACATTTGGTTGAACTTTTTTATATAACCTGTCAAATCAGTTAGAAGTGTGTGAAGTTTCTGACAGTCATTTGGAAATGTGCAAATATATTAAAATTACATTGAGTTTCAATGTGATAACTTTAAATTTGTAAAAAATAGATTAGCTATCTGATGCTGAGTATATTTGTACGGCACTATACCTTTGATGATGTAATTTTATGCTTATGTGTGGTTGAAAGTGTTCAAATATATATGATTTGCAAGCAACATAAAGGAACTGTATAGACTATGATTATTAATTTTTTTAAATTCAGGTATATCTCACACATTATTTGGACTCATATTCAACATGGAATCTGGTGGTTAAAGAGTGCCAATTTACATCTGTCCATCTGTTTTTAAGGCAGGTGTATGCCAGTAATTATTGCTTTCCACATGTACAGGTATGTCATTAATTATTTTGGCCAGTATACTACAGTATGTGCAAAGAATGGCATAGTAAGTCTACAACTGGCTCATTAAAAATGTCATCTTTAAACTCTGAGTAAATAAAACTGTTACCTGGTTGTAAGCTGTGTGTGTTTTAACTTTTAAAAGATTTTCCAGTTCTGCAAGAGTGTAATACAGTACACTAGCCCTTTTGCTGTTGTCTGTATTAAACTGAATGTGTTTTAGACAACTCATGTTTTTTATAGAATCATATCGCATGCACATTCATTTTATATGTAGCATTTACATGTATGCCTTATAGTTAAAAGTCATATAATCAATCTTCAATCTAACAAACAGGAAAAAATGTCTTAGACTTTAAAGGTAAGGAGCTCTGCATGATAGTTTAGAACAGTAATCAGTTGGTTCATCATATAAAAAAGGTTGAGAAAAACAGGTTTAGAAGATACTCTGAATAAATCAAGTCATCTTCAGGCTTTGGAACAAACCTGCACTATGTATGGAGATTTAATTGAGTAAATCATTTAGGCACTACCTGAGTATGTTATAATGCTTACTAATCTGACTATATTTTCATTAAATAAAAGCAGGTAGGTTGTATCACTTGTTGTTGTTCTTAAAAGTCAAATAACTGAATCCCAAGCAAAAAGCTAAAGATACCACATTAAATGCAATGTACAGTAAAGAAGTCCTGAAACTCTGAGAACTAAAACTGTTTAAAAACAATCTCAGATTAAAGGTAAATATAAAGTAGGATAATGTTTGTTCTGTAAACTATGATTTTCATATGTTATAAGACTCATTTAATACAAACATCCGTTTAGAAGTAAGCAATAAATAGTGTCCACCATTAGCTTAAACACAAGAATAGAAGGAACAACTTTAATGCCGTCATAAACATAACTGTTCTGGAAGGTAAAGGGGAGACACAGCTCTTAAATCTGGACAAACATCACTTAATAACATTAAGAAATAATCAAGGCAAGCTATAAATTAATGTCTCCCACAAAAATTACACTACCTCAACTAAAAACAATTCTGTTGTCATTAAAAGTTTTATGGTTACTTCTGTATACATAAGATTTATCTTCACATAATTACGCACAAAACAGGGAACTTTTGGAATGCGCCTCACTTTGCTGGTAAGCTGTTACTCGTCCTGGTGCACAAACTGCAGTTGTGCAGTTCATTCATGATGTTACATATGGTGTTGATGACTTTTGATATAACTATTGTAGTGGTGCCTGATGGTTGCAAATAGGATTGTGGGTCTCCTATGACACTAGTTGTTAGCAATTGTTGCTGTTGTTATATAGAAGCAATCATGTACCTGGTGATTATGTTGTTTTGTCATTACAGATCATTTTAATAGAAGGACTACTGAAGCTTCAAGGACAATAAGAAAACAAAAAAATTAAAGATTTTAATTGTGGTTTATACAAAAAAGCACAAAACATTGAAAAACACTTCTGACTGATAAGTTCTTTATAGTAAACGCTTGAAACAGTTCAATATTCTTTTAAAATTAAACAGCCTTTTACTGTAAGACAATTATAAGACAGTCATAATAAATTCTCATTTGTGTATTATGCAACATTATTTGTTTTAATGCTCTGAAAATGTTTCTAGGAGACACTTTGAGGTAGTAAGGTTGAGGTAGTGCTTTAATTGAGCTGGGGTGCTTGGATATCAGCAGAAAACACGGTATCACCAATCTAAGCTCTTTAGTCAGCACTGCATATTTAACAGTGATATAATTTAATAGCGGTACCAACTGTGGTTCAACGTATTGTGTATCATCTTAGCATCTTTACCCAAATCACTGAACATTGTAAATGTACTGTATATAACAACTGTTCTGCCAAGTGGTATTTGCAGAAAAGAACCTCTAGATGGTGCTATATACCGTAGTAGAAGATTCACAACAGCTCAGCCTCTTCAGTCACTAACAGCCAGGCAATACCAGCAACAAGCATGGTTCCTGCCACAAATTGTAGCAAAACAAACTTCAACAAATTAATGTGGTAACCTTTAATACTATAAACCTCATCTAATATTTAATAACCTTTTAACAATAATGAAAACATAAGTAAATCAAATAAATATGCTTTGCGTCATACTATCACACTACAAATATGACAAGGTTTTCAGAACGTACACTTCGAAAATATTTACAGTACTACAATATACAAAACCCACAGGGTCAGAAACACACAATGCGGCATTCACACGCGTATTGAACACGCGTGTTTGAGAGTAAAATAAGAAAACTTACTGTTTATGCAATTAATGTTACAGAAGACGCTATTTTGATGACAGCACTATCGGTAGTTAAAAAATAGTCTTTGATAAGGTGTTCAAACCGACGTTGCACTTATTAGTTTTATCGCGCGCGATATGTGAGACTGGCATTTACCAAAGATAATCCATCTCAGTGTAGAGGTTCTTAGGATATAGTGTTCCTAAGACATTTCTTGATATTTTTAAACACTTACAAATCTGACATCAGTGTCGATAACTGATCTGCACATTTTTATTTTAATGACAATTGATAGCCTTGAACGATATAACAGGATAAATACACCTGCAATATTCAAGACAGTATTTAGGAATGTAGCTTTAATTGTAGACTAACGTCTACACGTTAACTGTATATTTGCTTTTCAGAATCCCCACTTACAATGATATGTGCATTGAGAAAAACGTGTTTATCAAGTGTAAAAACGACAGGAATTGTCTTGGAAGGTTATACATCTCTTGACGTTGCTAGGAGGTGGGGGTGTTACGTGACACTCAGGGGGCGCAAGGTCCAGTTGCTTGTGCTCAAAAAGGGGCTTTGACGTTTTATACTGCAGTATGTATTCGTTATACGCAACTAGTGAAATGATTACAATGAAGTTGAAGGATATAATTTAAATTTTAAATATAACCTTTAGCTATGGGCTACAACATTTAAATTTAAACCTGGCTAACCACCTTTCAATATTAACAAAAGCTGGGAAAAAAGGGGATGGTAACGTGACCAGATGTCAAACAATTACCTTATTAAATATTAGCAACGAGTTGAACTGAAGTACAACAGAAAAAAAGGAAGGACCGCAATTTGCTTTCAGAAGAGCAACTGTCATTATCTACGCCTCAGCCCCAAGCTCCTGTTCCGTATCTCCAGAGCCTGCAGCTCATCAAGCGATTCAGTAGAGTTTAATGTGGCGTAAGTGACTTTACCTTTAACCAATCGTTTCACTGCTCCTCCCCTCGTTGCGACGCTAAGAGATGAGGAATCCAATGACTACCGTTGGGGGCGTTGGATGCTGTAATTCACACCCCCCTCTGGGCTTATTGAGAGTTATAACAAGAAATTCAGTTCAGAGAAGGGAGTGAGCCAGGAAGAAAGGGAATTTACTGCAAGGCAGTTATACCATCAAAATTACACCGACCTAGTACCTGTTACCACAGACAAGGCAGATGCGTGCTGAAATAACTGGAGCGTTGTGAGGCAAAGCACTGCTTGAGATGTCCTAAACTGTATGAAAAACAAATACATCACTGAAAAAGCTGGACCACAGTGAACTAATAGGTTCTTTCTGCAACAGCAACATTCACGCAGTTGACTTATCTGGTGAATAACACATTGCATATTACTTTGGTTTTATACGGATGCGGAATGACTGCGTGAACCCGTTTGTCCAAAGGAAAATAGCTTGAGCTGATCACCTGATTGTTTGTTGGAGCGGATCACTGACAACTGCAGTACACGGATTCAACAGAGAATTTCTAACATTGGAAAGTTAAATGAAAAAGGGATTTTTTTTTCTATTCTAGCGAATCAAACACCGCTACAGTATATAAAGGATTGTGATTTTTGTGCTGTGTCGATGGAACATAACCTCATCGTACGTTTATTTAGAGAAACCAGTGTTGATTAATGAGGAGCTAAATACTGGAGTAATCCAACTACGGTTTTGTTTGCGGAATGAGAAGGAGCATATCTAAGATGTGTTACTGCAATATTAGGCATCAGTATGCCTGTTTGAAACCAGATACTCGCTAACTGCATCTTCAGAAGAAAGCAGGGGTAAGAAAACGCACATTTATGGTCGAAAATGCGAATATAGATAGTCTCCTAGCTTTAGCCGAATGGATTATATATGATACTCATCATATTTCGTGTAATTACCAATATTTATCGTTTAGATTAAATGCTGTTAGACTTTAAAGTTTAGAAGGCAAGTCCTTAATGTTTCAAGACTCGTTTTGCAATTATTATTACAAGGTCTTGAAAGATGATGCTAAGTACTTGAATGGCTGCTTTGGTTACTGCAGCATTATCTTATCGCAAGCTCCTGGAGGTAAAAGGAAAAATAAAAATGACTAAGAACCAAACATGATGCAAAAATATATATAATATTTTGCAGCTGACAACACAGCAATAAATCAATTTGTTGATAAGTAAAATAAAGGGAAAAGATTTTTAAATGATTAAGATTTATTAGGTATATAATACACTTACTACTATGGAGTTTGTGTTGATATGTTAGATTCAAACTAATCAGATTATTACTAAAAGAAAGATCAAGTTTTAATAAAGCAGTGTTCACTGAATTTATTATGTAATATATGTTTTTAATATGCTTAAACAATGTAGTTTTGAATGTGTTATAATTATATCATCGTTGTTTATTTATAGGATTGTTTTGGCAGCTGCTATCCTACGAATTAGAGATTTCATGAATTCTGCAGTCCAGCAGCATTGCATGGTACAATACTGTCTGAATAAAGAAGTGGAAAACAATTAGACAGTTACCATGGACCTAAGGGATTTTTACCTGTTGGCCGCTGTGGTTGCCTGCTTTTGGCTAGATCCTGCTATAGCCCAAGAACTGATTTACCCGATTAGAGAGGAATTGCAAGAAAATGTGCTTATTGGAAACATACCAAAGGATCTGAATATTTCTCATATCAATGCTGCAACTGGAACAAGTGCTAATCTGGTCTACAGGCTGGTTTCTAAAGTTGGGGATACACCTTTAGTCAGAGTTTTAAGCAGTACAGGGGAAATATTTACAACTTCTAACAGAATCGACAGGGAAAGACTTTGTCCTGGTCCTTCTTATGAAGAAAATGAATGTTCTTTTGAAATTGAAGTTGTTATCCTGCCAAATGACTATTTTAGGCTCATTAAGATTAAAATTGTAGTCAAGGACACCAATGACAATGCCCCCATGTTCCCATTCCCTGTTATAAACATTTCTATTCCAGAGAACACACTGATAAATAGCCGTTTCCCAATTCCATCAGCCACTGATCCGGACACTGGATTCAACAGTGTGCAACACTATGAACTAGTAAATGGGCAAAGTGCTTTTGGGTTGGACATTGTAGAAACACCAGAAGGGGAAAAGTGGCCACAGCTTATTGTACAGCAAAACTTAGATAGAGAGCAGAAAGATACTTATGTCATGAAGATTAAAGTAGAGGATGGAGGCATGCCACAAAAGTCCAGCACTGCTATCCTTCAAGTAACTGTCACTGATGTAAATGACAATAGACCAGTTTTTAAGGAGAGCCAAATCGAAGTGCACATACCAGAAAATGCACCAGTGGGTACCTCTGTTGTTCAGTTACAAGCAACAGATGCAGATGTTGGACCCAATGCTGATATCAGATACATTTTTGGCACCCAAGTTTCCCTAGCTACTAAAAGACTGTTTTCTTTAAATGGCACAACAGGCCTTATAACAGTCCAGAGACCTTTAGACAGGGAGGAAACTGCAATCCACAAAGTAACAGTACTGGCCAGTGATGGCAGCTCCAGTCCAGCCAGGGCAACTGTTACTATTAATGTCACTGATGTTAATGACAATCCACCAAACATAGACCTGAGGTATATTATTAGTCCAATTAATGGTACAGTTTACTTATCTGAAAAAGATCCTCTAAATACAAAGATTGCTCTGATCACAGTTTCTGACAAGGATACAGATGTTAATGGAAAAGTAATCTGTTTTATTGAAAAGGATGTCCCCTTTCACCTAAGGGCAGTCTATGATAGCCAATATCTGTTGGAGACCTCATCGCTGCTGGATTATGAGGGCACCAAAGAATACAGCTTTAAAATTGTAGCTTCAGATTCCGGTAAACCCACCCTAAATCAGACTGCTTTAGTCAGAGTGAAGCTGGAAGATGAAAATGATAACCCTCCCATTTTTAGTCAGCCTGTAATTGAGTTGTCTGTTATGGAAAACAATGTACGTGGTTTGTACCTCACGACTATTAGTGCCACTGATGAGGACAGTGGGAAAAATGCAGAAATTGTTTACCAGCTTGGACCCAATGCCTCTTTTTTTGACTTGGATCGTAAAACTGGAGTTTTAACAGCATCAAGAGTTTTTGACAGAGAAGAGCAAGAAAGATTTCTTTTTACAGTCACTGCAAGAGACAATGGAACTCCTCCACTTCAGAGCCAGGCAGCTGTAATTGTAACTGTACAGGATGAAAATGACAACAGTCCTAAGTTTACTCATAATCATTTTCAGTTTTTTGTATCAGAGAACTTACCAAAGTACAGTACTGTGGGAGTGATCACTGTAACAGATGCTGATGCAGGGGAGAATGCTGCTGTGACTCTTTCCATTCTAAATGATAATGAAAACTTCATATTAGATCCTTATACTGGAGTTATTAAGTCCAATGTTTCATTTGACAGAGAGCAGCAAAGCTCATACACATTTGATGTCAGAGCTGTGGATGGAGGTCAACCCCCTTGTTCATCTGCTGCTAAAGTAACTATAAATGTTATAGATGTCAATGACAATACACCTGTTGTCATTTATCCACCATCAAATACGTCATTTAAGTTGGTACCTCTCTCTGCTATTCCTGGATCAGTGGTGGCAGAGGTTTTTGCTGTGGATGTTGACACCGGAATGAATGCTGAACTTAAATATACTATTATAAGTGGCAATAACAAGGGCTTGTTTAGAATTGATCCTGTCACTGGTAATATCACCCTTGAAGAAAAGCCAGCTGTGGCTGATATTGGTCTTCATCGACTAGTGGTCAACATTAGTGATCTGGGTTACCCAAAATCTTTGCATACCCTTGTTCTTCTGTTTCTCTACGTGAATGACACTGTTGGCAATACCACCTATATTTATGACCTGATACGCAAAACCATGGAAACTCCTTTGGATAAAAATATAGGTGACAGCAATGAGACTTATCAAAATGGGGACTATCTGACAATTATGATTGCTATAGTGGCAGGTGCTATGGTTGTTATAGTTGTCATATTTGTCACAGTGTTGGTGCGCTGCCGTCATGCCTCAAGGTTCAAAGCAGCTCAGAGAAATAAGCAAGGCGCTGAGTGGATGTCCCCTAACCAGGAGAATAAACAGAACAAGAAAAGGAAACGAAAGAAAAGGAAATCGCCCAAGAATTCTTTGTTGAATTTTGTCACCATCGAGGAAACCAAACCTGATGACCCTGTACATGAACCAATAAATGGTACAATAAGCCTTCCAGCTGAACTGGAAGAGCAGGGTATAGGACGGTTTGACTGGAGTGCTGCACCAACAACAACCTTTAAACCTAATAGCCCTGACCTAGCTAGGCATTATAAGTCTGCCTCACCACAGTCTGCTTTTCATCTGAAAGCAGACACTCCAGTGTCAGTGAAAAAACACCATGTGATTCAGGAGCTCCCTTTGGACAACACCTTTGTTGGGGGTTGTGACACCCTTTCGAAGCGATCCTCCACTAGTTCAGACCACTTCAGTGCCTCAGAGTGCAGTTCCCAAGGAGGTTTCAAGACAAAGGGCCCATTGCACACCAGACAGGTAAAAGAGCACTTTTACTGGTCTATCAGCACTGCATATAATCGCCCTATCCACCAGTACTAAAGTGCCAGTTTATATTTATTTACTCTGCTTATTGGTCTGAAAAAGAGGAACTGCCTTGAAGTCACATTCATAAAAGTTTCTGTTTTGTGTACCTTTAAACCAAAAGGCTTTTGTTATTTTTTTATTGTTTGTAAACCTAGGGCCACATGCACATTTGTTTTCTGAAACCCCTATACATTTTTGATAAGTGTTGTATATTAAACTCAAAGAACTGTTATGGGTATTTAAATTTGTCGTAACAAATCTACTATATAGTTATTTCTCAGCTTTTGAACTAATTTTGAGATTGTTTTACAAAATGTATTAGTTCTGTAAAGAATAGAGTAGGATGGTCTTACTAGGATTTGTCAAAGAAACATTTTTTTCTTGCCGGTCTACTCAGTTTAGTACCTGTTTTTTTAGCTAATATCAAAAATAATATTCCATTATTACATTTGATAATGTTGTACAAAGAGACCTTTGTGAAATGGCTTAATGGCGGCTGGTTCCATCAGATAAGATGTACATAATTCCCTTTTCTGTGTTTCACTTATCACTTTTTGTATCTGTGCAGATGAAGTCATGCGAATTAAGAGTTTGGCAGTATTTTGTTTCTTAATGTTATGTAAAATGGACACTTTTGCATTAAATACGGTATATTGACATAATTGTATGCTTTAAATTAATTTGAATATGCATGGAGAAATAATGCTATGTTTTAATTGTTCAAATAACTAAATAAATTACTCAAGATTACACGGTGAAATAATCTAAGCTTAAATTAAGTTTCTTTTCATAGTAAAGCATACATAAACTAAGACTATTACAGAATTTGAAATATATCTAGTTTAAAAAGGATTAGAAATTAATGAGACACATTTTTCTACCTAATCCAAATTTTTTCATAGCCTTATTAATTTTGTATTTAAAAAGCACTAAATACAACTTGCACTTTTAGTTTTGAATGAACCATAGCTTGATGTTCAAGGACAGCCTGGAGATGGCACTGTTGCACCACCAGGTTTTTGATGGCATGTTGCCAGTCTGCAGTATATCTGTATTGGGGGTGGGGAAAGGATCAAGCTGGCCGTGCATTCAAATAATTTCTTATGTCTAATGACAATGTTAATGCATTGAAGATTCATTACGGTAGCTTGAAATGTAAATTATAGGACTTTTTTTCATGGACATAGTGTAATTATAATAGTTATTGTCTTTTAGGTTTTTCCTCTATGAAGAGCAAAAAACAGTGGATTAATTATTGGTACTTGTTACAGTTTAAATACTGGTACTTTTAATAATAACATTTTTTGGTATTTACATTATGTGTTTGAATTTGTTGTGAAACATTACTGTGTCAATTGGAAAACATGACGAGAACATAAACCACACAACTTTTAACAATGTTCCCAATGTAATATGCTATGTAAAAACATTGAAATAACCCAAAGCAAATTTTAAAAGGAACATTTGGTAGCTTGAAGAAAAGTTCACTGAACACATTTAAAAGGATTCATTTACATAAGATTTATGGAACTAGTTGAATGTTTTTAACACAATTTCTAAGGGCAGCTTGTAAGACAATATTAGGAAGAATGCCATATTTTAAATCTTCTTCACTAAGGAACAGATAATGTCCCTGTAAAGAGTGCATGAAACCTATAATCACAAGACCTACATTTCTTATAACTGAAATCAGATCACTGATACAGAATATAAGTATAAGCAGAACACTTTATGTTCTTTCATACACTTTGTTTGTTATTTTCTTTACAAAGTAAATATGGAATTATGTGTAGTCAATCTGTCAAGAACAATGTTTGTTCTTTAGATTTTTGTTTTTATGAGAATATTTTTTACAATGTGAAGCATTAGCAGGATTTTAGTGACAGCAGTTTTATTGCAGCCAGAGGCTTTACAGGAACTGCTTTATTACTTCACCCAAACTCTGCTGACAGTGATAGGGCAATTATTATTTTTTTGCCCCCAGTGAGCTATATTAGGTATAAACAACAGCTGTTAAAGACATGAAAACATAGTCTGTTTTTTGTTACTAAAGACCGTATGCTGTTCATGTTTTAAAAACAAAACAATGTTATTATAATAGCAACTTTGACTTGTATTTCTAGGAAGGCAGTCCAAAATATTAAATTACCACATTCTTTCGTATTTCATTGAGTGTTGTTCCTGATACTTTTAATTTGGCTCAAAGTAAATTGCATTATATTTGAAATGGGATAAATCTAATTTTATTTGAGAGTCTTGATACACCAATTGTTGCCATTTATATTTGATAATCCTTTGGGGAAAGAGAATATGTATGTGTTCTTACATATGTTTAAAGTAGAATTTAGAAACTAGTTACTATGTAAATGTTCAATTGTAGTAACTGTATCTGTAAGACTACAGTCATCACAACAACTAAGCCTGTTGTAATAAATAATGATATTTGAAAACAAGTTAAAAACTGTCCATTAGAGAAGTAAAATGAGAATGAATATGGCTGGAGGATGTTTTACATTTATCTCTAAAATTGGTATACTGTTGTGATTATTATTAATACTATTATTAAAACTTTGAAAATGTATGAACATTCATTAGAAGTAGCATACAGTATTTACCACAGTTTATCATACCGTGGTGAGACTGCCAACAGCAGCACTTCTGCTCTTGCTTGCATCTAAGTGCAATGTGGTTTGACTAAAGATTACAAATGTGAGGAGGCCATTCTGCCTATCATGCTCATTTGGGTGCTAGAAGCTAATTGATTTGAAGAATCTTATCCCACTGTTTTTTGAAAAAAAAAACAGGTATTAACTTCAAGAACCTCAGTGGGTTGCTTGTTCCAGACTCTCAGTACCCTTTAGTTTTAAATACATTTCTAAATAGTTTCCAATTGGGTCCTCTGGTTTGTGTTTCACTGTTTATTCTAAAGAAATTGGTTTGATTTTGTCATTTTCTTTGTATGTTTTGAATAACTTAAACTCTCCTTTAATATTCTCTGTTCAAGACTAAAAAAATATTCCAATTATTTTAGCCTGTTAAACTAAGATATTCCTTTACGCCTCAGGATATTGTTTTCTCTTTTCTTTTCATGGCAAGGGTTCCAGAGCAGAAACATATTTATTGTTACTTGGTAACAAAATTGTAAACAATAGTTTTTAAATAATTACAGTTGTCTATTGTACAGTTTTAACACCCCTTTTTGTAAATTATACACTTTTATCTATATTTCCTTGCATTTGGTTTGCCTTTTTACTCTTTTTCCACATTGTCTAGAAGGTGAAAAGTATGTGTTAATATAAACACCTACTGTAGGACTTTTTAAAGTTCAGTTTTTCCATCTTATATAGTTTATATTTCTTCTATCTGTATGTTAATGCTCTAAACTTAACTACATTGCCAGGTCTGCAGGTGTTTGTCCAATCTTTTGAAATCTCTTTGCAACCTCTACAGTGTTTGTGTTTTCTCCTATTTGAATATCAGGTTCAAATAGGAGAATAGAAGGTCTGCCAGGTATTTGTCCAATCTTTTGAAATCTATTTGCAACTTCTATAGTGTTTGTTTTTTTCTTCTATGTGAATATCGTCTGCAAATCGCAAGTTTACTAAGATCATGAGTATAACAGGAGCAGTGGTTCTATTATTGAATCTAAGCATTAACCCATTTTTGGTAATATACTGTATTTCCTATCCATTAATCAGCTTTCAATTAAAAAAATGTGCAGGCAATAACTGGATTCCACTGTCAATTTGAGAATTAATCTCTAATGAGGAACTTGGTGAGAAGCTTTCTGAAAATATAAATATATCATATACCCTGGTTGTATCTTTTACTATTGTTGCTGGTTTGAAGAACTGTAACAAGTTAGTTATGCAAGACTTCTTTAAATCCATGCTGCCTATGTACTATAATCTTATTTCCATAGATATGATCCTTCAGTTTAGCTCTGATTATCCCCTCTGTAACCTTACGTGTAATAGAAGAAAGACTTACAGGTCTCATTGTTTCTTTATCAAGTGCTTAGGACACGGATATTGTTTAAGAGGGACTTTTTTTTAAATTTTAAATTAAAATCTTTTTACATTTAATATTCCACAGCTCAACAATTTAAATTTGTAAAATCTGATACAGTTTGTAAAAGGTTGGTTATGTAACTTTAGTGGAAATATTAATGATAAAGTTAGACTACTGTGAGACAGACAAATTTCATTTAAAAAAACTGAAGAAAAAATGAAGGTGGAAAGATTAATAACATGAGTAATATAACCAACAACAGTAATTCACTTTGCTAACTATTCACTTCCTAAACTCTCTAAATTCCTGTGCAATTCCTCATTCAGAATAATGCTGAATACACAGTGAGATAAAAGTATGAACCTGGAATAAAAACAAAATATTTTAAAATGTAACTTCATTAAAACTAATTTCTAACATTTACATTTTCTGGTCAATATACTGTATAAGGAGGATACAACTTTATCTTGTTTGTTAATGGCTTTGTTTAGTTTTCAGTGACATGTGAAAAAGACATACCAGCTTCCACTTTCACACAATAGACTGTTGCCATGTGTTTAAGTTTGTAGCTGCTGCTTGAAGTTGAAAAAAAAACCTGACCTGAATAATTATGCAATTCAGGGATGTAGAATTTGCAAGAATAACTTTTGTATTGATTTATAACATTTAAGAGCTTTGCTTATCATAAAAAAATGAGTGAAAGAAACATGACAATTAAAAGTTAAGATTTTTTTGAGTAGATTATTTAATGAATGAACTTTGTCTGAGACTAAATGAGATGGACTTGCCATTAGAATTTGTATCTCGATGGTTTCTTTGCTTTCTATAGGGTCATGTACAGTACCATATTATGCAGAGATTACTATATAGGAAGCTCATACAATTGGGAAAGGTTTAAAAGGCGAATTGATTAAAACATCATACCTAAGGGGATGGTGTAT